TTGAAAGATAAATGAAATTATGCACAAGCAGCAAGTAACCATTAGACTTTTAAATAAACCAATCATTTCCAAATAATATTTTTTGCTCTTAAATAGGACACTTATCAACATCTGTATTTTTTTAATAGTGGCTATTGCTTTGATATACTTTAGTTTTATAATCATTGCTATTGCTTGTTTTCTTTGGTGAAACAATTTAAAAAATATTTTTCTTGTTTTCTTATTATCACATTTTCCCTATCGCTAATAAGCCAAGTCTTTCTTTTAAAAACTGTAGGTGTATTCCCAGCCATTCTGCTAGTCTCTTTCCCTGGACAGAACTGGATTTATATTTTTCAAAGTAATTAAAAAAAAGTTCATCTTAATTGAGCTGATGCCCATGTTAATACTTCAGCTTCACTGTTTCTTAGACTCATTTGAAAATAGAAATCAGATAGAACCTCACAGTTTTAATTCACCTATCTTCAAGGGGGAAGAAAAGCAAACCAAAAAACAACGAGCCATCTCGGCTAAAGTCAAATAGTGAAAATGTGATGTTCTGAGAAATGTCACATCTTAAATGCAAATACAGGTCATAGTTTTATGAAGATACAATCACAAATCACCAAAACATAATCATAATCCTCACCCTTCCTCTTTCTCCCAGCTACACCCCAAATCAAGGAGTTTCAGACATTTCCACTCAGGTACATTTGAAATGGGAGGTTGTGCATCTGGTGGTGAGTGCATTTTAAGATGATGTACTCTCTGGAGCTAAATTCACAGAAGATTCCATTATTCTGTCCCCACCCTCTTTCTGAATGTTGAACTGAAGTCCCTGCAGCTGTGGCTTCTGGGTTGGGAGCCCCCTGGGCTGCCAGTAGAGTAGATTTTTCTCCATGCAGCGGGGAAAATCTCAAAGCAGAGTGGTTACCCAGGCACAGATCTGTTCTGACTGGATAACAAGAGGAACTATGATGTGGACTTGGCTGTTTAGATTAAAATGCATTGCAGGCTCCGGGAACAAGAACACATCAGTAGTAAAGGCTGTTTAAACCTTTGGGGACAGTCCTATGTTTAGATTACATTAATTCATAAATATTATACTAAATACCACTTAAATTGGACTTAAATGACTTCAAAGATAATGCATTATAATATGGCTATCCAGAGAGCACTAGTCTTTATGTCTCCCAGTAACTCAGTCTTTGCTGCCTCCTATTCTGCTAGACAGGACCAAAGTTATGAATGGGTTGTCGGCTTGTTCATGTGTGGATCCACTGTGTATGTGTAGCAGGCATGAGGATGTGTGTGTGTATGTGTATCTTCAGTCACTGCTTCAGTTTGTTTTCCAGGAAATAAAAAGAAGAAAAGAGAAATACATTTTTAAAAATGAGGGAAGAGAAGAATTAGACTAGTGGGTGACCGGTTCCCTTTTCCAAAGGAAAAAAAATTCTATGAGAAGGGGCAAAATTGGTCCTCAACTCACTTCTGCTGCTATCCCGGGAATTTGCCTCTCTCTTCTTTAATCAATAGTACAATGTCTTTCTCTTTGGAGGCTGGAAAAACAATCTTTCTCAAAGTGTTTCTCATGGGGAAGACAAGAGGATTGTGAGTTAGCTGGGAGAGTTTGCATTAAACTGGGTTTTCTTCCTTGGCAGTTTTTTCTTTGAATTTTAATGTTGAACTTTCCTCTCTTTCCTTTTTCTCTCTTTCTGGCACCCAGATCCCCCTCCCTCCAACTGCTTTTTGGTATCCAGGGGCCAAATTTACCTTTACAGTAATTACCCCAGTCCACAACTGCTATGCTGCTTCCCCAGCCCAGCAGCCTTTCTCTGATATGGCTGGGTTTGCTCCACAACACCTACCTACTCCCTCCTCCACAGACTCCCAATTTGACTGGAGTAATTGCCTTTTAAGGTGCACTCTACGCATGGCAGGTATTCCATTAACCCTTAGAATTCTTTCCTTTTTTAGTTACCTGAAGTGGCAGGTGCTGGACATATGGATACCACCTGAAATTTCATGCATTTCCTTTAGTTTAACTCCTTTTCCCTTTTTTCCTTTTTTTGGTAAAAAACAAAACAAAACATTTATATCCAAAGGTCCTCTACACTTGAAGTGAATATCATGTTACACTTCTCAATTTTACCCCAATATGATTCATTAGAAGTTAGAAATTCAAGAAGGAGATAGCAAGATCCACAAATATTTCCTGAAACCAGGCTTAACAAAGGCATGATTCTATCCCAAGCCTCATGTTGTCAATTTAGAGATGGGGAAAATCTAGAAGCTAAATGCAACCCTCATTCCTCAAGCCTCATCATGCTTTTTGACTTAATAGTAATTAATCACCAATGGCAAGCGAGTAATTTTTTAAGGTGGCCGGAGGCTTATTTTATCAGGATTAGCTAATAAATCAGTCTCCATCACTGAAGGAGGAGTTTGAACTCTTTTAGGACTGAATAAACCAGACCTCAGAAACTGCCTCATTTATTCAGCTCTCTAAGAGCTTCCTGGTGCTCTTAGGGATGTTGTGGCCCAACCTCGACTATAAAAATCAGAGGGCTGGAGAAGCAGGAAGTTTCATAGAAAAAATATATGCTCAGGCTTTGAAGGGTGAGCTGTGACAACGAGGCACCCAGTATGCTGGAGGCAATGGGCCTGCCTGCCACTGAGACAGTTGGGGGAAGAATTATTTAGAAATGAAGTTTTGCTCATCCTAGGAATTCCATATGTGTGTGTATGGATGTCTGTGTGTGTGTATACACATACACACATACACATAATTATGTAAAATGTATAACCTTCTCTACCCATCGATGCAAATGCTAAAAATTCGCCTTCTTTGCTATAATACAAGAGAGTCCAAATTATTTCAGAAATAAGTGATGATAGCACCCAGAGACGGTTGAGAGGAAATCAAAGAATATTGTTAAAGTTTATCTTCATTTGAAATAAAGAAGCAAATAAAGTGCTCCAATACAGCTCCCACAGGAAGCCCAGCTCCTCACAACTGCCTTTGCCATAGTGGGTTCTGATTTTTTTGTTTGTTTTGTTTTAAACTTTGAAATCTTAAATCACAGAACTGATCATTGAAACAGGGGAACAACACTTCCTTAGCTATGCTTTACAATTTTTTAGTATTATTATTTTTTAAACTGGGGACATGTTAGGATGACAAAGGTTTGATACAAACCTTGATTAGCATCTAAGGAGGTTGTTCGGAGAGAGAGAAACTACAAAGATATATTCGACTTGGGGGGGGTGTTTCTTTCCTTTTCTTCAGATATTATTTAGACGACTGCCTCCCCATTCCGCTTTTCCAATCTCTCTTCTGACCAGACAGACATTTTCTCCATATTGGATAAAGGTTGGTTTCCCTCTCCATTACAGCCCCCACCCTCACCCCACCCCAACAAATCCAGTATATTTCCATTCTGCTGTGTTTTTGTACTACTCAACATGCCATTAACTTTAAGATTTACTCCTCAGCAGGCAAGCTGGAAGATGCTAAAGCCAATAAAAACTGCTCTCTGGGACTCCAACTATGAAGAGTTTGGAGCTCTGTTTAGTATTCGGATGAAGGGAGGGCTGGAGAAGGAGGGTGGTTGTGATAGTGAAAACCGCTGCTGCTTGGAGAGCCAGACAGCTCCGCGCTCTGCACCTAATGTGCCGGAGGATCAGCTCTGTTCATAGCCCATTTGTGGCCAAGGATGAGGCTGCTCTCAATGTGGGGGTGGGTGTGCGTGTGTGTGTTTTCATCTTTAAAACCACCAGCTCTAACACGGCATCTTCGGCGGCTCTCCACACTACTGTTTATTAAAAACGGTACGTCCATACACATTCCCTACAACTTCCTTAGCCCCGTGCTCCTTCCCTGCCTGGCGATCAATCTCTCTCAGAAAGCATTTAACTTGCCCACACAGCTCCAGCACCGATTAATCCTCGCTGCACATCCTATACATTACTGTTAGGGAGCGGAGCACTGGGCTAATTTCGTCACCCACCAGCCACCCACACACATTCTACAACTGAACACGTTTGGGGTTCTGCCTTAAAGATAATAAAACAAGGAGAAAATAGGCAGGCTGCAGACAATTCCCATGACCACTTTCCTAAAAAGTTGCTGGGCTTTAATTCTTTGATTATTCTGTCTCCCCATCCCCCAAGCACTCACTAGCGATGATTGCTTCACGGAGAAATAATGTACTATAAAGCTCTCTGCATGGTGAGTTTGGGATAAATTAGGGTACACCCTTCAAAATGCATATCTTGCACACACACATTTTACCCCCCAAAGCTCGGGTTTCCTGGGAAGGTGACTATCCAGGCTCCTCAGACCACTCACTCTACCCAGGGGATGGCTGGTTTCTTGGTAATTCTTGTCTTAGGTTTTTTATCACTGGTTCCTTCAAACATCCACCCCCCACCCCAGCACAATCAGATTACTGAGGCACACAGCTAGACAGGGAGAGTTTACTGTTCAATTGATAGCAAAATAAAAATATCTCTTCGAATTTGTCACCTCTTTCCCCCTTTTAGACGGCTGCGCTCCTGTTACTCTGGCCGGGAACGGAGGAAGAGACCATCTCCTTTAGTATTTTCAGCACCACGGCGATGGACAGCACCCTCGGTTCCCGGCCCGCGAAGCGACTGCCAGTTCGCTCAGCGTCCTGGACTCGGCCGGTGCAGCTGTTCCCATCCCAATCTTTCAAGTCTCTGTACCCAGATCCCCCTTTCCCCCTCGAGCTTCTCTTTCTCTTCATCGTCTGTGCCCGCTGCTCTCTCCATGGCACCGCTTCTATCAGCTCCTCGTCCAAAACCCAGCCTTGCCCCAGCGAACAGCTCCCCACGCACCCCAGCTCCGGTCTCTGCTACCCGAGCGCCTCCCTCCTCGGCGTCCGCTCGAAGCTCCCTCTCGCTCCGTCTCCCGCTCGCTCGTTAGTTGCCGGCCGGCAGGTCTGCCCGCCCGCCCGCTCCTTCTCCCGGACAAAGTTGGGAGGGAAAGGTGCACTCACCTTTGTGCATGCCTGTGAACCTGTCCTTCAGAACCGTAAGCTCGTAGATTTTGCCGAACTCCTCGAAGAGGGGCTTGAGGTCTTTCTCATCCAGGTTGCGGGGGATCTGCCCAATGAACAGCTTGATGGCATCGTGGTCCTTCATGGGAATGGTCGACGGGTTCCCCGGGCTGTGGCTTAATCCGTTCATGTGCCCGGCGCTGCCCGGGCTGCTGCCGAGCCCGTTGGTACTGAGGCTTGCGTTGTCAGCCTGTCCGTTTGCTAACGTGGCCATCTTTATATACATAGAGAAAATCTTCTTTCCTTTTATTCTTTCTCGCTCGCACTCTCTCGCTCCTCTCCCTCGCTCGCTCGCTCGCGCTCACACACGCACACGCATACACACACTCGGGTTCTCTCCCCCTCGGTTTCTCTACACCTCGCTCTCCTCTCGCTCTCTGCTCGCTCTCTCTCTTTCTCCTCTCTTCTCTCGCTCGCTCGCGCTCGCGCGCTCTCTCTCCTCTCCCCCTCTCTCTCCCTCCCTCTCTCTCTCCTCTCTCTCTCAGTCTGATCCAATTTTTTTTTTTTTTTTTTTTTTTTACATTGAACAGACAGGATCTCTGTCCTTTCCGTTTAAACAGGCTGGACCGGTTCAAGTTCCCAGCCAGACCAGGGGTG